AATATAAATTTATAATAAAAATATATATCTAATATATTTTTAATCTGCCCTCGAAAGATAAAAGGTAGACATACCCATGATAATAATAATGGTGAAGAAAGCTTTTGATTCAGCTGTTTATCCTCTTGCTTTCTACCTCTCCAGTTCTTGTTTACACAGAGGTCAGAAAGAGATGATTCTGAGCCACTGATCCACACAATTAAGGGGAGCTATATGGGAACATGGCAGCTGCCTAACCTCTTCTTTGTCTCTATACTTGACGAGGCAGACTCTTGCTTTAACATTCTGGAATCTGCTACCAAGGCTTATAGACGATCACTTACGGCCGGATCTTCACTTTCACAGCCTAGATTGCTGTCTACATCATTGCCAAGCTCTACATCGGTATTGGCTGCAGCTTTGTATTTCCAGCTATGTAACCGGGAAACTTGATCATCAGATGCCCCTTTCTCTGTTGACCCCACACTACAGCAAAGGAATAGAAACGACAGGAGTGGGACTGAGGAACTGAGAGCATTCCAGGCTAGCAGAGAGATGCAGAGAACATGAAGATTTTGAGCATGGGGGAAGGATTCAAACCCGGAATCAAACACCTAAACATTTCCCATCACAAACCATATTGCAAAGAACAGCTCAAGTGAAGTCCGACATATGTTCATCAAATGTGAGCTCCTGTACATACTGTATATCAATTAGTAGCTGCAACACAAATAAGCAACTGAAACTCCATGGGAACATGATGAAATAGCTTGGTTTATCACTTTCCTAAATGCGTTGCAGTTCTAGTTAGTACCTTGGATGGATTTTTCTTAACTTCTGAACATATGGAACCTTATCAAGAATCATCAAATGCTAATTTGATTGAAACTTCACAATCCATATAGATGATATATAATAGGAATCTCTTTCATCCATATCCACATATGGCAATGCATAAAATGAATTGATTGTCTCATTCTTATTTTTTGAACTAATCAAAGATTTTCAAACTTAGACAAAATTCTCAACCACTAATTGAGCATTTTAATCAGACAGGAAACTATTGCTGTTGCAAAGTTCAATCAAAGGAGTATCATTAGTCTTATCTCCATGAATTAGGCGCTGAGACGCTAAGGCAACTCCTGGCACTTAATGATTTCCTTTATTTCAATTTCATACCTATATCTTATTTACGTCAACTAGTTTATAGGTTTCCTTTATCCTAATTTAATTGATATTACAACTTGAAAGTTTCAGTGTTAGAATATTTTAGTTATAACTGAGAAATATGCTTTTTCTATAATTCAGAATGGAAACTAAAATTACTGTGCATATGCGCAGGCTACTGAGATGGGGGCCTTACTCAAACTCATGCTTGGAAATAGTTTCAGTCCAGGTTGATGCCAATTCCAATTGATGAATAACAAATAGATTGAGAAAAAGTAGTAAATATTGAATAATTGGAAAGACCAATTTTTTTTTTTTTTATGGGGTATAGACTTCAATTACAATCCACTTGAATGGATACACAACGTCAACCAACACATTACAGTATAATAAAATTACTCTTCTATGGTATCTGGTACAGTGAACTTGGGGAACTGACATCAACCTCTGGAGGTAATCTCGGAGGAGAAGAAAAGAAAGGCTTGGGTGGAATTTCTAAGGAATCAAGGTTCCCTTGCAACATCTCTAGCACTCTGCACATTGGTGGCCTGTCTGAGGGGTTAGTCTGTATACACCACAAGCCTACTATTGTCATCTTCCTTGCTCTTTCTATATCATCGTCATTCCTTATGCTCCAAATTCCAAGTTGTTCATTCAATTCAAGACGCCTGTAAATCCACCGTGGAAAATATTCACTGCTATCATCTGATTCAACATTTTTTATATTTTCCCTCTCCCCAACCATCTCTAAGACCATCATGCCATAACTATAGACATCAGACTTATGGGACACCCTACCAATACTTCTAAAAAACACCTCTGGAGCAATATATCCTATTGTTCCCCTTGCATTTGTCATCGAAACCATACTCTCTTTTCTAGGGCACAATTTGGCTAGTCCAAAATCTGATATCTTGGGGCAGAAGTCACCATCCAAGAGAATGTTATGAGGCTTGATATCAAAATGCAAAATGCGTGTGTTACATCCTCGGTGGAGGTACTCTAATCCTCTAGCTATGCCAACCGTAATATGATATAGTGTTTCCCACTTCAGTTGATGATTTTGGTCCAAAGGATTTTCTTGATGAATGAACTTCTCTAAAGATCCATTTGGCACAAACTCATAGATCAAAGCTCTTTTACGACCCTCAAAGCAGAATCCCAAAAGAGTGACTATGTTAACATGGGAAGTCCTGCTAATGCTTGCAACCTCATTGATAAATGCTTCACCATTGTCCTTTGCATTGTCCAAGACCTTCACTGCAACCTGACACCCATCAGATAGCTTCCCTTTGTAAACAGCCCCAAAGCCTCCTTCACCCAATTTATCACTGTAATTGTTTGTCATTTTCTTAACATCTTTAAAACTATACCTTTTTAGAGCCAGATGCCCATTGCCTCTTAGGAAAGCTTCAATATCTTTACAATCTTCCTTCTTCATCAATATGGAAAACATTCTGTTCTCAGGTGAGAATATTTTTCGGAAGCAGAAGATGAGAAGAATCAACCCTGCAATTCCAGCAACAATTGCGGCTGCAGGCAAAAGAAAGGCCCATAAGATACAGTGAAGCAAGTAAATGATGCGGATAATGTGTTGCTTCCTCATCATTTCCATATTGAGAAGAATTAGATCAATTAGACATACGTAAGATTTTTTTTGGCCAAACAAATAGTTTTGTTAGTTTAATTTGAACAAAACTGAATTCATTTAACCCCGCAGAATAAAGCCCTTTGATTAGTTCAATTTCCCTCTCAAAAACTCAGGTGAATGCATGTAACATATTTTGAGAAGGAAAGCATATTCTTTCCACCAAATAATACATCTTGCAGCTACATAAGAAACTACTAATTTTATTTACAAAACAGAAATCAAAGAAGAAAAGCGCAGTTGCTGAAAAAAAGAATTTTTTTTAATTTTTTGTTTTTTACATAGAGATTAGAGATTCAACCGTATGAGTGTAATTTTACCATTCAACTAGATGGCTGATGGTAAAACAAGAAGGTTTTATGGATTGGTACAATGACTACATTACCTGCTGCAACTTTTGTCATAAATCCTCTGGCAGGTCCTGCAACTCCAACATAAAACAATAACATTAAAAATATATAATGATCTTATAATTAGAATTACTTTACCATGACCCCCGGCCCCCCCACCCCCACTGAAAAAAGAGATCTTTAAGCTAGGCCTAAGGAAATGTGGACTGTAATTTGGTTTGCAACCTTATGGTCTATTTGGCTATGGCAAAACCAGAAACTATTCAAAGATGGAGCTGACTCTAGAGATCAAATTGTTGAGCTTATAAAGTTCAGGTCATTCTACTGGTGCAAAACAACATTATCCACAAACCTTACACAGGACAAATGGCTATCCAACCCAAAAGAAGGTCACAAGCGGCTACAACAATCAGCACAAGATCTAAGGAGAAATGAATTCATGCATCAAGGACTACAAGGAAATAGGACAGACAACGACAGAAGCTGAAGGTATGATTGCATCTAACTTCTTAAGAGGTAGGTAAATGCTTGAGGAGATTGAGATTGATTGCAGCTTCTAGGGGTAGTTCCTGGACATATTTTTGGAGAGTTTTGTTTACAGAGTGGTTATGTTTTATCACTCCCTATTGTAAGCAGGTTTGAAGTATATTTTGTACTCTATTTTTATAATATTTGATTTGCTAATACAAAAAATATAGATTGGAAAAAGTGCATATCAATTTTCCTTGTTAAAAAAATTAGAGTTTTAACTTGAAATGACGTCATTCATTTAATTAAAATTTTTGGATTCTAATTTTGTTTAGAGTAAGGACTAATACGTAGTATTTTCATATATATATATGTGTATGTGAATAAATCTTAATAATTAAAAGTAAATAGATGAATGATTGAGATTTAATATAAATATAGTATGTAAAACTTAACTGGAAAGAGATCCCTACCACAAGCTAGGAGAGCTAAGTTCTCTCTAAACAAAATAGGTGTTTTGAGTAATTCCTTAACTGAAAAAATTGACCTCTATATATATTCCTTCATTTTGTTATGCTCCTTTATACTTTGTTTTTTATTATCCCTTTATTCATTTTTAATAGATTTAGTTTTTTTTAATAAAATAGGAAGGTAATAATTTATTAATAAAACTTTATATTTATTTCTAATTAAATACTACTTAAATAAAACTTTTTATTTAATTGATGTTGTAATTATTTTTTTTAAAATGAGGATAAAATAAAAATAAATATATTAAATAATATCCTAAAAAAATAAATAGTTAAACTTAAATGTTTCAAATAAAAATTTAAGTCCATTAAAAATGAATAGGTGGACTTTTTTTTAGTGTTTTACATTCTCGGCAGTTGACTTGGGATTTAGATGGGAAGATCGGGGGAAACGGACTGAAGACCAGCTTGGTGGGGTAATCCGTGCGAATCATGCTGTATAAAAATCTTTCTATTGGTTGGCGGTGAGTCACAGGTAAAAATTATGACATCCCATGGACCACCTTCACTCACTAAAGTCTTCTAATTTAGAAATTGATTAGGATAGAGATTTGAGAGTCTGGGCTGTTTGAGGTTCATAATAAACGTATTTTGTCTACAAAGAATGGCACCATTTAACATTACGCGTTTTGTCTACAAAGAATTAAACGTGCAGAAATGGTTCTATATACTTTTGGAAAAGTGTAGGAAGAAGCTCCAGTGGGGTAAAGTTAGCAAAAGAAAGAGACTTTGGGAGAAAAAATGGTTTTGGTAATCCGAGTTTTGGTTAATTTAGAAAAGAAAAAAATGATCTATACTCGTCAGGAACAGAAAGACTTATCAAAAAAATGAGTGTATCGCTTGTAGTCATACATCCACAACAAATGGTTTTTGTGGCGGTTAAAAAAAAAAACCGAATAGATGGTTAGATATATTACTAAATAAGTGTTTTTACAGGATAAATTCAAAATTCAAGTCTTAGGTCAGCATTTAAATAAATAAATTTTTTTAAATGTACTAAATAGGCATGGGGCATGACAGTATTCTTAAGATCACTTAAATAAGCAACTAATTTTGAAGCATACAAAAATTAACTTGAAACCACTCTTGGAAGAGGGACTAACTCTTTTTCTTTTTTCTTTTTTTCAAGTACCTCTTTGTTGGATTCAAGTTTAAACATGAGATTTTTAATTTTAAATTTTAAATTCTTAATTAGTTGTGTCTTTTTTTTTTCTTTGAGTTTTCGACAATTAAGGATACTTTTTGTCATAAGTTCATATAAACAATTATTTTTAATAAATATAAATAAATTTCAACGTTTTTTTTTTTTAATACTAACTCCTTATTATTTAGAAACAACATTAGACTCAACATTGGATTCCATGAAGGAAAATTTTTTCAATTCTTATATTTTCATTCATAAGACTTGAATTTAAGATTTTACAAAAAAAAAAAAAAAAACTAAATTTCTTTCATTCATATCAACATGTCGTTGGTATAAATTTTAAGTATTAAAAATAAAAAGATAAATAATTGAAATTTTATGTAAATATGATGTGTAGTAAATCACTTATAAAAATTGACACTAATTTTGCAATCATTGCCATATAAATAAATATATATAATTGGATGGTTGCTAAATTGAAAGTCAATTTTTTAACTATAAATTTATGATAAAAGAATATTGATTACACTATTAATATGTGTCTTTAAAACCCAACTAGTTAGAGAAATTTTTTTTTTTTCATTTTATCAGTATCTTTTTATGAAGTTATGCCATGTATAATGGTATGATCAATTCACCATATGTTTTTTTCTTGAAAATATCAATTCACAAGACTTAATTATAAATTATAACAATGGAACAAAAATGCATTAGTCGAGTGACACATACCACTGTTGGCAAAATTAAAAAAGAAAAAAAAAATGGTAATACATATCTCTACAATTATGGCTGCTAACTATTTGATACGATGAAAGTTGAGTAACATAACAATTCACGTAGTTCTCTGTGCGCGGGAAAAAGATTTATTAAGGGTTCTTAATTTTAATATGATATTTAATTTTTTTAATATGATTTTTAATATTTTAAAGATGATATTATAACTGGTGAATTTAAATTAATTCAAATATTTTAAAGATGATAATTTAAAGATTTAATTTAAATTCAATACTTATAATATCATCTTTAAAATATTAAAAACCATGTTAAAAAAAATTAAGTACCCTTAATAAATCTATCATTTAGTAAAATATTTTAACATTTTAAATGTTAGATATCTTAATTTTCTATTTTTCTCTCTGTTAGTAAAGAACAGTACTAACGTTAGGAAAATAAGAGAAAGAATCCGGTGGCCAGAACTAACCTTTACGGCAGCCACTACCGGCGTGATACCCGTCACCAACGAACTCCTCTTTGCACTTGCAACGGAAACCCGGCTGTCCATTCGGCGTGGAAATCTTTTTACAATAAGCATTTCCAGAACACTGACACTTATCCCCTTCAACCCACCATCCAAGCTCTAAATTTCGAACATCCAACGCCATCCCTGAATCATTAGACAACTCTGTTGATAGAGACGTCAGAAAATACCGGCAGCGACTCAGTTTGTTGTAATTAACAAAGCCATCAGTATCAGGCCTATTCTCCATATAACAACTGATGTTAATACTGCTGTTGGAGCTGCAATTCCCTGTCTCAAATCGAGTTTGCACCAAGCCATTCGGAATGGTGCACTGTGCTGACCAGTCACCGCAGATGTCTAAAAATATCGCATTCCGAGACGATGGTGCGTAGTTTTTGCCGTAGAGAGCGTGAAAGGCTTGGAGGGATCGGTTGCATTTGGGTTGAATACTAATCCTTATACTCTCAGAATCAACGTCGATGACCCGATGGTTGTTGATCATGATACTGCTGTTTGAGCAGTTTAAAGGGATTTTGCAGCCGGCCGAGAATCCAAAAGGGTATTGCCACTGCTTGCCACCGCAGGATCGGTCGCATTTGGCCGCCTGAGTTGAGATTACTAGAAGAAACAACACCAGAGTTACAATGAGTGGATCTTTAAGATTCATATTTGGTCCAAATGAAAGCGGGACAGAAGTTGCAAAACAGAGGAAACAGGGGAAACAGGGGAAACAGGGGATAAAACTTATAAGAAAATCCTTAAGTCCCTAGCTAGTGGATAAATAATCTTTGAAATCAACGAAAACATCTAACAACAAAATGACTTGAGAGGATTCGGGGATTGGAGTTTTTGGAAGACAGAAAGAGGGTCTTTGCGGTGGTGGCAACTGGGCTGTCAGCTTAAAATCAGAGTAACTGTTTATGGCTTTCCATGAAACTACTTGGGTTTTAATATCGATTGGGAATGATGAGACATGATTTGATTTTCTTTTTCTTCCTTTTCACACCGTTGTTGTGTTTATATTGCTGCTGTAATTTCTGGGATAAACCTAACTTTGAAATTTAACTAATTTAGGGTGGACTAAGGAGGCAAAGGGACAAGAAAAGAGATATTCGCTGTGCAATTCCTTGAACTAGGTGATGCTATGTTCTTGGATTCCAACATAGTGCGATACCCTCCAATCAGATTATTACTTTGACACTACAAAACTACAAATATACTTTTAATTTTAATTATGTGATTTGGTAGTAGACTGTTTTTGCTCTTTATTATAAATTTATAATTTGATCCTTAGTTGCTTGTAGTAAGAATTAAAAACAAAAGTCAAATAGGAGTATAATTTTTTTTCTATGGATATTTTTGGATTTCATTTGAGTTTTTGTTTCATTTTA